TCCTTCAAACACAAAGTGAGGAAAGTGCCTTAATCAGTTTCTAAATAGATCTATAACAGCTATTATCTGGGGGATGATCAGACACAGACCAGACCCCAGGAAAAGGCCAAGTTGGTGAATGCAAAGAATCATAGTATCATAGAATGATTTGGGCTGGAAGGGACCTTAAAGTCCATCCAGTCCCACGCCCTGCCATGTCCTTCTGATGTTGGGGGCTCCAGAGCTGGATGCAGAACTGCAGGTGGGGTCTCACAAGAGCAGAATACAGGGGCAGAATCCCCTCCCTTGACCTGCTGGCCATACTTCTCTGGATACAGCCCAGGATACGGTTGGCTTTCTGGGCTGCCCGCGCACACGGCCGGCTCATGTTCAGCTTTTCAGCTACCACTACCCCCAAGTCCTTCTCCTCAGGGCTGTTCTCTATCTAATCTCTGTCCAGCCTGTACTTGTGCTTGATGTTTCCCTACCCATGTGCAGGACCTTGCACTTGGCCTTGTGGAATTCCATGTGGTTGGCAAAGTCCCACCTCTGCAGCCTGTCCAGGTCCCTCTGGATGCCATCCCTACCCTCCAGCGTGTCGACCGCGCCACACAGCTTGGTGTCGTCAGCAAACTTGCTGAGGGTGCACTCAATGCCATCATCCATGTCACCGACAAAGATGTTAAACAGCACAGGCCCCAACACCGACCCCTGAGGAACGCCACTCATCACCGATCTCCACTCGGACATAGAGCAGTGGACCATCACTCTCTGAGTGCGGCCATCCCGCCAGTTCTTTATCCACCGAGCGGTCCGTCTGTCCAATCCCTGTCTCTCCAGTTAAGAGACAAGGATGTCATGTGGGACAGTATCAAAGGCTTTGCACAAGTCCAAGTAGATGACATCAGTTGCCTGTCTTTTATCCACCAAGAGCGTGCCCCCATCGTAGAAGGCCACCATGTTCGTCAGGCACGATCTGCCCTTGGTGAAGCTATTCTGGGGGTCACCAATCACCTCCTCCTCATTCTCCATGTGCCTTAGCATGGTTTCCAGGAGGATCTGCTCCATGATCTTTCCAGGCACAGAGATGAGACAGCGGCCTGTAGACCCCTGGTCCCTTTTTCCCTTTTTAAAGAATTTAAATTTCATGAAGTCTGCCATGCAACCCACAGATCTCCAGCCAGCAACTTGAAACACCCAAAAATGTGGAGTTCTCTGGATTCAGCACTAAGCCCAGCTCTAGACTGTAACTGTGCAAGTAACAGCTCTGACACCAGTTTTTAAGGGACAAACTTAAGTGACAGATGTTCCATCACCTCCCAGAAAACACAGCCATTTTCCCTGCCTAAGGATCCTGCCCAGAAGTTTTCAAAGGGGTTCAACCTGGACCATACATTCATGTGACTAACCTAAATGAGCAGCTTGCACAGCATGAATAGGACAGCCAGCATTTTCAAAAAATAGCTTTCTAAGTGTTGATGATAGCTGCAGCCCATTTTTCAAGCAAAGTTCTGTAGAAATCAGAGGGGGAAGAGCTCTCTTCCCTGCAGAATTCAGCTTAAGTACCTCATGCAGATCATAAAGAAATTAAGGTATCTAGTGTTAAGCTCTTAATTTTAATTAAAGTAGATCTTTATATGTATTCATCAGGGGAAAAAAAGGGAGTTGAAGAAATGGGAGGAAAAAAAGCACCTGTGAGGAGTTTTTATCTAGGTACAATGATCTTCTAGTCCTTGCAGATTCTGTATATCTAGGACAATAAAAGAACTTCAAAGGTGAACCACCTCATTAACTCACTGAGAAAGAGTGCTTGTGGTGTTTGCTAATCTCACCAGATAATTTCAGTGGTCCTGGTTTGCACATGCACTTGCAATTCAAACAGATGATGAGGGAAAACCATGGAAATCTATGTAGTATATTCTGGATGTGACCAGAAAAACAGAGGAACGGGTCTGGGAACAGTGTTATTCAAAACCCGACTAGCTTGGCTAACGTCTGATTCCTAGATGAGTTGCGATAGCCATTTTATGCAATTTTTAGTAAAGCTGTCACCCAGCTCCAGGGTGAATCACAGTGGATACTGTTCCACAGTCAGGCAAGAGCAACGTGGACTACTTCCAGTTCAAGGTTCCTTCTGGTCAAAGAATGCAGATCAGGATGATGGACATGTCTCTGCCATTCGCTGTACACCAGGATCCTTGTGCAAGGATCCCTCCTCATTGTCACCAGGTTGTGTCTGTGAGCTGTTGGCAACAGGGCTGCTACAAGCATCATAGAATGGCAGATCTGGACAAAATCACCATATCACTGGAGTTCAGTTTCCTGCTACTAGGGGGAACATATCACCCAGCCCCTCCCATATACCCACCACGCTCCTTCCCAGGAATCTCTGGAGCCTTCTGCCTAGCAACCTCCCACCAGGAAACTGCTGCAAAGCCTTGTCACGTTGACACAGTCTGCATTTCTCTCATTTCCAACCTATGAAAATCCATCTAATCACATTAATCCCTACCTTAATATTAAAGACTTATGGACAAGTTTTATTAGCTGTCTTGTAAAGACTGAAATAAAAAACATACTTCACCCTGAAGCTTGTATCTCTTAGACTCAAGTTCCTAGAACCAACCTTTTAAGTTCAGGTGTTTTTTCTTATTTTCTTCTCTGAACCAAGGTTGTTGTCTCTTCTTGTTAATGCCCATTCATTTCATGCTCTTGGCGAGTTTCTGCCAGCTTTTCTCCAATGCCTCTTTTTACTTCCAATGCCATCCTGGAGCTAATCCTGCTCCATCATCATCTAATCATCTCTATGCCAACCCGCCCATGAAGCCCAGCTGTGCTTAGACACCCTTGAGTTATCAGCCTGCCTGGACATTGTTCAGCTGGCAGAAGAGCGAGCAGAAAACAAAACACTGAGCAGTGTAGCCATGCAGAAAGCAGCTATGGATCAGGCCCATTTTTTATGAAGTGCTTTGAGATCCTTAGGTGAGAGTGCAATATAAGTGCCAGATGTTATTATAAAGAGATGCAGTCCCATTACTTGTACATAGAGTTGTGCTGCCTGTTAATAGCACCATTATCCTAAGGCACGTGGTGCTATTAATGCATTTCACTACTTGGTGCTGAACCTGGGGACCATTATTTCCACTGGAAAGGTAAGGCCAGTTCACATGACATGATTTAAACCTCTACAGTGAAGCATGCATACGCTGCACCAGCTCGTAAATCTTAACAGGATGCTGTCAGCTAGAAAGGGACCAAAATTGAAACCATTTATCTGAACTCCCCACCTATCCACCTCTGTTCACCCACGCCAGGTTTGGAAAGAGGGATAAAATGATTCCAAATGCCCTCTGGGTTCATTAAACAGCAGCAAATCCCAGATCTAAAAGCGCTGCTGGTTTCATCCTGCTCTCCCTGAATGAATTAGTTCATTCAGGACACTTAGCGCTTCCTTGATTTCCCCCACACTGAGCAGAAATGCCATAGCAGGGACAAACTCACTACTTTCTTCCTTACTTGCTCCCACCTGGGTCAAAAGACAACCTGCCATCATCTCAATACTGAGGCTATAGGACCCGTAAGCTGCTCAGGTCACAGCCAACAGTAGGTAAGAGCTCCCCTGCACTGCAGCCCAGGCTTTAGGGCAGTAGAGATGCCCCCATCACATTTGGGAAGGAAAATGTGAATGGAGTAGTTACATTTGATCTCATACTTGCCTGAGCACTTCTCTTTGCTGGCCTACTGCTGTGGCCAACTAGCAATTTTATTTTTTTGTCACTTGATTTTCTCCTCAGCTGGGCATGTTTCTGGCAGCAGAAGTAGCAAGGCTGACCAACAGACACTAATAGGTGCAAGGCTACATCTGACATTCCTTCACAGACCAATGACAGACTTAAAACAGAACAAAACAAATTTTTTTAGGATACTCCACTACAGTAGTAACGTACATATAAAATAGATTTGCAGGGCAATAATCAGAGACTCTTGGCTTAGTAAAATATCTGGAATCTGATGCTAGAAACACACCAAAATTACTCTGACAGGACACTGCAGCTAATTCTGGGTCAGGGTGGTGGAAATTTCTTTGCTGATAGCAGAGTTAAAAATTATCATGGTAGCTTTAATACTAATCCTGAGCAACAAACTGCAATTTCCCAGGCCTCAACCATACTAAGAAGACTGCATGACAATGTGGTTTAAAGAAAAAACATCATTTGTTCTGACAACTCAGGTGTGTAACTCTTCCCACCTGCAGTGTCCTGTCTGTGGTAGGTCTCTACCACTTCTCAGGAGCTGCTCAGTTAGAAAAGGATGGTGAAGAAGCAATATTTGATGTTCACCAAATATCCAGCCCCTCTGAATTCCTTCTCATGGGCAACACAATCCAGTACTTCAGCTCAACACCCCCAAAAACTCTGCAACACCCTGAGAACTCTAAAAGGACTTTCTAGGTTTACAATGAGATATCTTCAGATATAGAGCCTTACAATTATCTTAGTTCAGAGTTTTTGTAACATTCTAGATGTCTTTCTTCTTGCTATACACACAGATAACACTGGGAAGACTGTCCCATTTTACTTCAAATACTGAAGAGGAGCAAAAATCACATATAACCAGAGCTGCACACATGCTGAATGTTAAGTCTCTGACAGAGAGCTAAAACTGCACCTCATGGCTAAGATTTCTCCTCAAATAACAGGAAAAAAAACCCCACTTTTTGAACAGAATTAGTCTTCACATAAAAAAAGAGAATGTTAAAAAATACATACACTGCTCAGAAAATAAGGTAAAGCTCATTTATGTCTCAAAATACGTGATTAGCCATCGTTAACCATTAATTCAGCTGCACTGCATTAGAACTGCTATTCAAAGTTGGAAAGCATTTAATATTATATATTGCCACTGCTCAGCCTAAATTGGTGGTGGTTTGGGTTTTTTTTTTACCCCCTTTAAATGTACACAATATTACAAATTTAATTTTAAGCTGTTTGAATCAGTCTGTAAAAAAGATTTGATTATACCTGAGTGTTCTGGCCCCAGTTTTTCCATATCTCAGTAATCTTGGCGGTAATTGGCTGATTAGCTCCCTCACACTCCATCTCTGCCTCAGTTTCCATGGTAATGTTACAGGAGCTATTATAGATGAGAACTTCATCTCTTTCCACTTTAGGGCTGAAACGAGAAGGGAGGTTAAATGGGGTGTCATCAATCTTAATGAAATGCAATTATTTTTACTCTTATTAATCATTGCAAGCCATTAGCTTGTGGCAACTCCTGGCTACCATTTGTCAAACTTTGCAAATTTCTGTAATTTTGTTTCCATTCTTTTATTGTTTATTTGTTTTTTTCCCCCCCTCTTTATCTGCACACACTTAGGATGAAAATACATGCAGTAAATATCTCTCAGTGATGCCTTTCTGCTTCCCCAAACTATTACAAATAGTAGCAAATGCCATTCCAGGACCAGGGTGGGAAGAGAAGTGCAGACAACAGCTAGGGAATCAGCAGTGTTAGGATCAAAGATGGACTCCTACATGGAGTAGGGTTTGTTCGTGTCTCCCCCCTCCCTATCCTACTCACACTTAGCAATAGGGAATGAATAACTTGCAACTCCCCTAGGGCAAGTGGAGAAATTGGAAAAACCACACAACTGGCTAACTGGTCCCTAATTCCAACTGTGAAAAAATGAGCTCATTTAGGGGTTCCAATTCCTGCTACCCAGCTGATTGCAATGATGCTTTGTTGCTAGCATTGGAACATTAACTTAGTAAATTAATTAAACTTACTTAACAGCCCAGACTAAGCAGATTCGATATATGTGCCAGTTATACTAACAGACAATTGTGCTAAAGCCTCCCCTTGCACAGGGGGAAGGAATAGAAAAGATGATGGGGAAGAAACATTTTTTTGCCTTGGTCTCGCTGCTGACAGCTGCTGGCTTTGGTAGCATTTTGTTATATGGAGCTGTAGGATCCAACATCTCTCAAAACGAGGGGAAAACTTCCCAATTTACTTCTACAGGCTTTGATCAGGCCAAGATAATCCAACATCACTTTTCATTCCTTCCCCAGCCATTGCTCCTTCTTCCTCTTCACCCCACCATCAAATACACACCTGCAGCTTTAGGAAGGGGAGCAGAAAGGAGAAGAGTTATAGTAACAGCAACGTAGTACAGAAATTATACCCGTTTTTTTGAATAGCTAAGAAAGGACAGAGTGCATGAAGTAGAGGATCAGATAGGGAGGACCAGGATTTTCAGAGGTCTTCAGGTCCCTGAAAGCCTCACCTAACAGGATTTTCTGAAGTGCCAAAGTTAGGAGCCTACGTTCTCCCAAAATCCACCCAATTGGCAAGGCACTACTCGGAGCCTGATGATGATGATCAGGATGATTTGATGAACCTGACGTTTTCAAACCTCACTGGATGTGGCAGCTCACTATACACACAAAGAGCTGCTCTGAGAGTGCATTGAGGGGGTATTTGTTTTGTTGCCCTTTTTCAGGGTTGAAGTGTTAAAGGAAGCAGCCACATTAGAGACTAGGGGGAAAAAAAAAAAAAAAGAACTTTCTGCAAGTAGCTGAACCTTTTTAACAGTGAATTTTTATTTCTATATTTAAATGAACCTTTCCCTCTGCTGTATCAATAATCAAAAGCCAGCCGTAGGGAACTACACTCGCTTTTGAAAGCAACACTTTGAGAACTGCTCTTGTCCTGTACAATAATTCAATGGACCGGGCTATCTCTCAAGACTGCGTGGTACTTTTTTTTAATGCTACAAGAAAAAGCTGCATCTTCCAACTAACCAAGTGTTTGAAAGGCAGAAGGGGGTTGTTGTTGGCGAGATACAAGGAATGGGCCCAATTTGCCAGGCACTAAAGTTAATACAAGGATCTCTGAGTGGTTGTCCACGTCTTTTCACAAAAAGTTAACAAGCTTTGCTTGTAGGCAAAGAACCAATTTCTCCCTGTCCTCTTGTAACTGCATCCCAAAACCCTGATGTTGGAAAACAGTTAACAAATTGCAGTGTTTAAAGGAAATGCAAGAAAAAGAAGGGGTGACTTGTTAAAGAGAATTCAGGGATGTATCTTAGTACCCATGTTGTTAATGGCAAGACTTCCACCTCTTCTAAGGAACATGCATTTGCCATTGTGTGTTCATAAAGTACAGGCTATAGTACAGATCAGAGTAGGGGAAGCTTTATTCAAACCACTGTAAAGCTAGTAACAATGAACAAGAGAGATTTAATGTGCAGTGAAGCCAGGAATGATTTCAATAGCTTTTTTCCCCATCCTGTGAAAAAAGTCTTAAGTCTTGAACATTTGCACAGAACTAAAATCCATATTATTACTGTTAATATTAGTTACTATTATTAATTATAGCAATCAATGTGTATTTCTTCAGGAATTCCCAAAATAGTTTTTTTCTACTTTGAATATTTTAATCTTTTGACACTTTCCTACAAATTCCATTAATATTTTGAAATTAAACATTTTTCTGAACTAAAATTTGCAACAACAAAAAAAATTCAAAAGCTCCAAAATAGGTAATTTGGTTGACTTTAAACTCTCTCTTCCTCTGCTTCTCCCCAGACTTTTCAGATCAGGAAACTCACCCGAAATCAAACAATCTTTGCCCCTGCTCCCCTTCAGCAAGACACAGTTTAGAAATAGAGTCACCAGGGAAAAACATCAGTCCTCTGGAAAATGCCTCAGCAGCCCAAGTTTTAATTTCTAACTAGTAGACAAGCATGAACACAACAGGGGGGGAAAGTTAATGACAATAACAAAGAGGTTGAAGAAATGGGAAGAATGGGAAAATAATAGGTAAGAAAAAGTTGATTGATTTGATTCAGAAATATCTCCCTGATAGGATTCCCTGAAGGAATAATAAACCCTGTCTCTGGGACATTCACAATTAAATTGGACAAAACCACAGTGAAAAACAATAAGGAAGCCATCAGCAAACGGACTGCATGACTCTTCCATCCACAGGATAAGCACAGACCCCCATCCTGGCTCACCCTGATGAGACCAGGGTGGAGCAGCAGTGGAATTGTATGAGCCCAAACCAAGGAAAAAAGCAAGAAGAAGAACAGTGATAGAAATAGACTCATTGTAGATGCATTTTTATCAGTAAAGAGCTGAGCACAACTTTTATACCCAGAGAACAGGAAGCAAAAAACCCAGAGAGGCAGATATTGGGGTACCCTGTTCCTCTTGAGTTTGTAGGTTACCTGCTTTGAGCTACACTGATTTGAGCAAAAGGAAAGCAAAGTTCAGCTAGAGAAGACAAGGCTTCTGGAGTTTCTTGTTGTGGAAAACAAAAACAAACAAAAATCATTCTGGGAGCAATAAATTATGAAATTACTTTAATTTCATGATAATTTTTTTCTCCCCTTTAGGTCTCCCTATGTCTGTCTCTCCCAACAAAACTGTCCTCCCCACCTCCTAGGATGCTATAGGAAATCATCAATGCACAGTGTGACTTTGGACGTGCTGGTTGGCCAGCTGCGTGTATCTGCCGTCTGCTCAGCAGTTTGCTGGCAAACAACAGATTATGGCGGAATTCTGTCCTTCCTTTTCCGCAGCAGGAAACGAACTTCTTCGACACAGATTTTCAAAAAAATGTCAAGAATTTCATAATTCTTAAGAAGGCCTTCCCTTATGAAACCCAGCTCAGATTAACCAGAGCTCAGGATCTGGTGGGGAGGAAATGACAGACTGATAGGCAGATGTTGCAACTGCTTAAACCTTTTTTTTTCTTCTTTAAACATGTTGTTTGGGGTTTTTTAAACAACTTTTAAAAATTGTGCAACTTGTGCCTTTCTGTCTTTGTTCAGTAAATGCCAGTTGCTTTTCTTCCCCCAGCACAGGGCATCCAGAACTCCCTCTGGTGACTCACACCAGCTGTGACATAAGGACCAGATAAGGATGAGGACTAAATCCCTGCAACTCCATTAAAATGCCTGGACTGTAACATCATGCAGCAGCCAGGAATGGGTTCACCATATACAGCAAATCATGCATTGCAGTGATATTCTAATTCTCTATTTGTTTAAGGTTTTGGGAAAGTTTTGTTCATCTGTTTATTCCTTAATTCAGACCTCTCTCTTACTCCTAGAAGTAAATGTTCTGCAGGCGTAAATCCGCACTGCTCCATTAAGGCATTAAAGGGTATCAATTTATATTCCTGGGCAACTTGGCCTTGGATTTGCAAAGCCTGAGCCTTGAGTAAGTGTCTGAGCACCCTTGCTGAGTAAATATTGCACAGCCTGCTGAATTTTCTCTGCCACTTCTTACTCATGAAACTGCTTGAAGAGAGGAAGAGGGAAAAAAAAAAAAAAGGAGGGAAAAAAAAATACTTCTGCTTTTCATAATGCCTAATCTTTTTCCCCATTGGCATCCACCAGATGTTGCTTTGGATCAGAAGATAAATATTAAAACCTAAGAAGGAACAAAGCAGGCTGTTTACGAGATGGATTTTTTGATGTCTTTCAAACACTTTAAAAAGACGGGAGGGAAGGAGGCGGGGGACTAGAGATGCTTTGATAGACACAAGGAATGAATTTCACAACCCAGCGGAGCTCTCTAGTGGTCTCAAGGCTAAATTGCTCTGTTGGCATCAACCTACGAATTAGAAATTTGCTCCTTCAGTCCCTCATTTGCAGGGGCCAATTCTACAGAAGGTGTAATATCTTCTGGGGGACACTGCTCATTGATGGACCCACTCTTTTGAAGAGACACAGCACTAACCTGGCAAAGAGTCCAGCAAAATGCCTCTGGGGTGGGTAGATGTCCCTCCAGTGACGCTGAGGTGGGCTGTCCTCACAGACGTACAGGTAAGACATAGATCCTCTCTGGCGATAGGAACCCACCGTGACCTGGACATCACATTCAATGAAGGTGGCTCTGTCTTCTTGGCAGTCAACAGAAGAATGTGTCAGGCCACAGAGAATGGCCAATGATGCTGCAAAGATAGGAGAGGGAAAAGAATAACTTAAGGCAGCCTACACATCACTGATGTTAAACAGATTTTAGCTACTGATGGTTGTCACTGTGGATTCCCAATTTTCCTGTCCCAACCTCCCTTTTAGTGCATCCTTTTTAATGGTATGTAGGTCTACATGGAGCTCCTTCACAGCAAGAATATAACCCCCTTTGTGTGTTGAGCATGAGGAAGGTCTTTGGGATCAAATTGCTCTTTCTGGGAGATGTGACAACTTAAGGTCTAACACAGCTTTGAAATCTAGCAGCAGGTTTTGTGAAAGCACTGTCACAGCTTGGAGGGCTCCTGGGGGACTTGTGTGAACAGGAACTCCCACCTTGCTTTGTACCAGAGTATGACTAGACACTTGGTCCGAGTTTGACTTCATGTATGTGGTAGAAAGTATAATGGGAGCAGCTGCTTTGCTTTGAGATGTGTTTAGGGAACAAGTGGTGTGAACACAAATTGGGTGTTCTAAATTTAAACCCTGAAAAAAAATGCTAAATAAAAAAAAAATGTGAACTGTCACGGAAGTTCAGAGCTGTTGAAATGTTTGGGTTTAACATTTTAAAAAGCAATCTTTTAAGCATTAAACCAAGCCAGAGATCAAAACTATTTCTTTTAAAACCCTGAGCATGTAAAGACTTTTGGAGAAATTTCATTAACCCTGAACTAACCAAACAGTTGTTATGAACTCCTGAAAAGGTCTGTGGACAGTATTACACACTGCATTGTAGTAGCCAAGAGTGTTCCTCAAGCAGCACAAGTGTAATTGATAGGAAATTATCAAGAAAGGGGTGTTTGTTTGTTTTTTTAAATTGCAGTTTGTTCAAAAGGCATCTTGTTTGTTGGGAAAGTGTCATTGTCACTGAATGTCTTAGCTCCTAAGCAATTCTGGAAATGGTTTTTTAAATGGTTAAAATATGAAAATGCTGTATTTCCTATGTTAAAATATTTAGTGCTTTTTGTTAAAAATTATTATTTCATATGGAGTATTTTTGAAAAGTTTATGACTTTAATGTTTAAGATATTTTTTGAAATATTAAAAAACAGCATTTCATCTGCTCTGAACTTCAGAGAAAGAGTTCACAATTTTTCTGTATTTTTCTTCTCTGGATTTAGAATTTTTAAAAAGTTACCCACATCTTCACACATTTTGCAACATGCTAAATCTCTTTCCTTCCCAAATCCAGTAGCAATACTCTCGTTCAGCATCCATTCAAACACAATCCCTGCCTTGAAGACCTACATATAAACATGAGAGAGACAAGTAGTAGACATAAAAACCTAAAGGAATGATGGCACCATGCCTATATTTTGCTTTTATTGTCCAGAAATTATGTCTAGAGCCACCTGAGGTGTCCTATAGTTCCCACAGAAGTCTTCTGTCTTCCTGGAGGCCAGGCTGCCACTCTAGGGGCATTTTAAGTGGCATTAGATGCCTGTGTTTTGGCATATCACTACCATTCAAGAGGACAAAATACTACCAAGAACATGCCTTTGCAACAACCTGCAGCAGAACAAATTCATAACAGGAATTCCTCCAAAGGAGATGGCGTATGAGCTTTGTTTCCAGCCAATGAGAGGCTGAGACCTTCTCAGGACTAGCAAAGATGAAGAACATCCAACCAGCAATGGCACTGCTCTTTCCTTCCTCCACAAACCCACAACTTTCCTGTGGACAGAAGAATTTCTTCCTCTTAACAGGGTATAACAGCTGCTTCTGCTTTATTATTCTATTCTACTAGTAACACGAAAGGTTGTGATAGCTCAGATGTGGTAATGGAGAATGTCCAGCTACCTTAAAGAAATAGCCACTTAGAGCAATATTAGCAAACTGAGTGGAATATTTTCAGGTGGAAGGGACTTACCACAATCATCTAATCCAGCTGTCTGACCACTTCAGGACTGACCAAAAGTTAAAGCATATAATTAAGAGCATTGTCCAAATGCCTATTAAACACTGCTAGGCATGAGACATCAACCACTACTCTAGGAATCCTGTTCCAATGTTTGATCACCCTCTGAGAGTGGGTGGTCAAAGAAAGATTAAATTCACATTCCACAGTTTAAGAAAAATCAGCTAGGTTGCTGAGCTAATAAAAGGAGACTTTGGGTTTCTTTTGTGGTCTTGGAAAGCACATAGCAGAGTTTTCCTAAGTGGAAAAAGAGTTGAACCCTATTTCAGGATGAATGTTAGAAATGATCCACATGGTGTTGGGACACAAATATTTTCCTCAATACTCTGCTTCTGTCAAAGAACTTGCCTGGCTAATGTAGGCCACAAGAAGGTGTTTCCTGCACAGCCCTTAGAGTTCAGCAGAAGAACAGCCTGTCACCCTTTGGATACCCCTGAAATGTTATGGGGAAATTGGCCATCTCTGACATGCTCCAGTGCCCTCATCTCAATGTTATCATGACTGTAGGAAGACCAGGCCTTGCATCCTACCAACTGCTGAAATAATTTTTAAATCAAACCAGGCCAACGAAGGCCTCATTTATGAAATCTAAGCTAAAGAACATGCTTACAAACTGATCAGTTGAAGAAATCCCAGAAAACCCTGCTTCATTTATACACCCCAGAATCACACTTAGGACTGCTTTCTGTCTCTCAGGTGGAAGGAGGGAGGTACCTCATTGCCACACTCTACAGCTACTGTCCATCCCACAGAGATACTACTCTTCAAGGAGGTGTCCATTTCTCGTTCCTTCCTTGGGGATCTCTGAGGTCCTCCTATTTCCCTGCTTCCAGAGGATTTTAATACTTCAGTTAGGACAAAGTCTTGACCTTTTATCCCCCTTCTGCTGACCATTAAACACAGATATCCCTTGTTATTATTTGATGCTCTTATCTCCAGCCACAAGGGTAAAATAATAAATAAAATCAACTAAAGATTGCAACACACTTAGTAGGTCTTAAAAGAATAGTCCGTTGGTTCTGGGACACAATACTTCTCCTTGTTTAATTGCTTAGTGTTCAAAGCCCAGAGTGAAGTTTCTTTATGCTTTATGTTCCCTACAAAGACAAAACCCGCTAATCACATGTAATACAATCCCATCATTGAGATGAATCCATTCATCCCATTACGGCTTCTCTTTTGAGATCAGACACAACGGCAGCCAAATCTCCGCATGTTGGTAATGGGTTAGGGACCGGCTGCCTCCAGCCCTGTCTTTAAGGGATACTCTGGCTTAAGCCAGGATCCTGGGATGCTCAGCACAAGGGTTTTGTTCTGGGTCACTGTTCAATAACAACTGCCGGACACGTGATGAGGCTAAAACCTACAGAAGTTCCAAGGGCAGCTGCAGACTGATTGAACAACTGCCCAAGGAGTCCCAGTGCCAAACCGCACGTCCCCAGTTATCCACCACCCACAAAACGGGGCTCAGAGCGTAACATTAACATGTGCTTAGCTGAGAAGACAAAGGTTAAAAAAATAAAATAAAGGGAGAGGTAAACAGAGATCTGCTAAGGCCATCAAGTCCAATCTCTGCGTATAAAGAATTGCTCCCTGGGAGACATTAATTTCACAAAGCTGAGTTTCAGAAGTCCCAAGAGGTGACTTTGCAAGCATCTATTGCACCGCCTGATAGATCTCACCATCAGAACGTTCCTGCCATGCAATCAACATGATTTTTTTTTCCCCTCAATTTCATTTCCGGATTTGAAGGACAGAAGGGACCATTTGGATCCTTTGGTTTGATCTCCAAAATAAACATCAGAGGCCCTTGCTTCTACGCAGGTTTCAATGATCACTACATAACCTCTGCATTTATGCAGCCAAATCACCCCATTTCCAAGGCTATAGTCCTCCTTGGTACAGCTGCACTGCTGCAACCAAAACTCATTCTTCTCGCTCTTCTTGCCCCATATGAAGAGCTCCACCGAGCCATGTCTCTCTTCCTTCTCAGCCAGCCTCATTTCATTTCTACCCTTGAATCTAAATGTTCTTCCCTAAACATATACTTTTACCAATGTAATTTGGCTAACGGTAGGTCCAGGACTCACTTCTATAGATCCCAAGATCAGTTACATCAAAGCCCTTAAAGCCAGGCCTGTTATTCCAAACATGCATCCAAGGATGCCCCATCCCTGGAAGTGTTCAAGGCCAGGCTGGATGAGGCTTGGAGCAACCTGGTCTAGTGGAAGGTGTCCCTGCCCATGGCAGGGGGGTTGGAACCAGATGGTCTTTAAGGTCCCTTCCAACCCCAACCATTCTGTGATTCTATGCTGATGCAACCAGGCAAATCAGACTCGGCTTTTTCCCTGATGGATCTTCTTATCAGTTCACCTTCTTTTAAAGGTGCCTTCTTTGCCCCCACCTCAATGTCAAACATACAATCTCAGGTACTGACTTACTGCAGAACTTACATATAGTACCTACACTAATATCACATAAGAATATTCAGTTATATTCTCACCTGCCTCAGGCTTCCTACCACTCTTCCCATCTTTCATAGAGGCACAATTCAATCCAACAGATATTTACCATGTGTTCTGTAAATTTAACCTGAGCTGAATAGAATCCACAGCTGTACTTGTGCTCATCAACATGCTGTGCTGCAACACAAGTGACAAAGCAGGAACAAGCAAAGATGAGAGCTCCCGGGATCAAGGCAGTTATTGCTTTACCAGACCTTTAAAGACTTGTGAGTTGGATTAGGGGTTTTGAGTTGGTTTTGTCTTTTCCTTGAAGGGAGGTTTTTTTGTTAATTTTATTTAATTTTGTTAATATTCTTATAATGTAAGGGTGAAATTCAAATTCTAGCTCTGTTCTGATTTGATTTTTCTGCAGCTTGCCAAAGACAACCGTTTTCATAGAAGAGGCTAGGCTTGCGTTCCTATTCCCTGTGCTCTGGATTGAGAACATTTCAGTACTTGGCACGCCCAGCTCTTGTTAATGATCAAACCAAACTGTGCTGCAACCATTCCTAAAGAAGACCCCTGGGCCAGGCTTGTGCATGAATCCTGCTGAGCCCAGCAGTTCCTCGTGCCTTAGAAAATGCCTGTTAAATGGGAAAGTCACATTTCCTACCTGCAGAGCCTTGCCCTACAGATTTGATCACATGAGCGAGCTAGATGGACCAGTTGTGGATTCCCACGTGAACATCTCTAATCTGAAGCAGGCCAGACACAACATGACCTAGTGTTGAAACCCCAGGGCAGCAAGCTGCCACCTGACATCCCAAAGTGCCAGAGGGGAGGAGTTTCCACTTCACAGCACAGCGTAACGGAAGAAATGCAGCTTGAAGTCTTCACTTCTCATCACCCGGTCCATGAGCAATGCCAGGAAATGTCAGAAACGCATCCAACCTGGCCGCACCAGCCTCTGCGCTGAAGGAGCCCCTTGGGCAACACAGACCTATCTCTCCTATCCCTTTCACTTATGGTCCCGCATCCCTGAAGTCGCTTCACCACCTCTCCCACGTGAACGAGGCTGTGAAAGAAAGGTCTGAGCACTGGATGTGCGAGTGCCAAGTGGCAAACTTCCCCGGGCAAACAGCAGCACGTAAACCACGAGACGGGACTGGAGTAACTGCACTTAATCCCACTTATGCCATAAATGTTGGGAGTGTGCAATCCCCTAAATATCAGGGGAAAGCCATCCAGAAAGCATCTTGCTCTATATACAGTCTCAGCAACGCCACATGTAGATGTTCACAGGCTGAATATGCTTGTCTCAGGGAGTACAAATAGCCTGGCAAACACATAGATTTATCAGCCAGTGAAGGATTCTTTTTTACTTTAAATGCAAAAAAAAAAAAAAACCCAGACAAAAAACCAACATTTTCTTGTAAATACTGCATAAACAAACATTTTTTGCAACTCGACTGGTGATTTTGCAAGGCTGCACACTACAAAATCCACAACAGAGGACAGAGGGGTTGTCTTGTAACTGGTCTCAAAGCAGCAACGCCTGGGTCCCTTTGGTCAGCCGGGCCGAGCATCCTTTGCATCCCCTCTGCAGACAGGCAACAGCAAGCGGGCAGCAATCAGCATTCCCTTGCTGACATCTAGTGTCGGGAAGAAGCATTGCGAGCTTGCCTGGAGGATGGTTTTCCCCAGGACCCCCCTGCCGCCTACCACTCAGTGAATTTTGACCGCATTTATTCATGTTTTCAGAGTCTGGATCAATTTAATTACATTTTATTCTGCTATTGTTCCTGCAATAATCAGACTTCCCTGTTTTGTGCTCTGTTTTGGTTTTTTCTGTTGTTTGTGGGTTTTTTGTTGTTTTTTTTTTAATAGCACTCCAACACCATGTCTTTTTTCTTGTTTAAAAGACAATATTAAGTAATTTTGTCCAGTGTTCTCAGATCCTATTTAAAACAAGGAAAACCGAGCCGTCACAATCTCTCAGTGTCTCCTGAGTGCTTGGGGTTGGGGTTTAAATCCCTTTTCTCCACTCCTGTCCACCACCTCCCTATTTTTCTTAGTATTCCTCATGGATGAGAAAAGGAACCATTCAAAATTACAAGGGCAAATTTAGTATTTTGGAATAACTGAGACTGAAGGGGACACCTGGATACCTCTTATCCCAACTCTTGCTCAAAGGAATGTTAAATTTCACAGTGGGCTGGTTTCTCAGCAGCTAATCTCATCTACTTCTGACAATTTTGGAGGATGGAGATTCCACACACCTTTGAGCAACTGCCCTGGATAGATACTCTCACTGGCAACTTTCTTCCAGGTCCACAAAGTAGAAGAGGCCATGGATCTTTGGTCACCTGTGTGACTGATATTTGAGTGGCCACAGAATGGCAAATATTTCTGAACTGTTTGCTACCAAGGGTTATGATACTGCAGCACCAAGGTGTGTGCTCTGTGCTTAGCATTTCTGGAATGTCATATGTCTCAAGGTGAGATTTAAAAGTCTTTAACCCTGCCTTTTGTAGATTTTAGGAGCCTAATTCTGTGCTGCCTGCAGGGGAGAGAGGAAATACGTCTTGTCCAAACAAACGCTCATTTGTAAGAGTTTCCTCCAAAACTGGGACAGGGTTACTTCTCTCTGAGAGCACTAGAGATAATGGCATCATTCCCTGCTGTGCTGCCTCTCTCCAGTTAAGGTGTATGCTCTGGCTGTGAGATGATCTCACATTCCTCTCAAGGAATTCAAATCCTCGTCTCCAGCCCCCCAAAGGTATGATCTGGCCAAAGTATGTCATTTGTTCACCCTCCCAGTCATTCACCCTTTTCTTTTTTTCCCCACTGAAGCTGTCCCACCATGCAGCCAAAATACAAGATGTAGGGATCCACGACATTTAGGGGAGCTGAACTCACGAGGGGTGTCACAACGGCCAGGAGGTGCTTGGGCTCCCAACCCTACAGCATGCACATTTTGTGTGACACCATTCTCCCAAGACATAGTTGCCACAAGGACCTGCTGTTGCTGTGCACACCTCATACACCTCACACACCTCATACACACCCCCCCCATGACACGCATGGCAGCTCTGGCTACAGACACATGGTGGATCTAATCCCAAACCCATGGCCACTGATACAAAAACTCTCCCTGACAGCAACTCTCTTTGGACTGAGCTCAACATGCAGAGGTCAGTGCTGTGTTAGCTCCTTTCCTTTCCCCAGGGATGCTGCTTCTCTCTGTTCCCCTGGGATGAGATATGCTGGGACCCCACACCTTTGGGTCAACACAGGTTTTTTGGAGATGCTTTTAACACAACAGCAGGTGTGGTGCCGTAGCTGACCTTGTAAGCGTGGGGCAAGGCATCTCAGGTCAGTCATCGTCGTGTTGCCCAACATTTCACAGGGGGTGCCGCAGATTGTGACCAAAGTCTTCCCTGGGGAAAACCCAGTTCCATGCAGGTAAACTGCTCCTCCATTCAAGCCACCTTGGAAAAAGACAGAAAATGGGATTTAACACAGAGCCCGACAGCCAGCTGTCAACAAAGGTATTTTTCTGAATTCATAATTTTTGCTTTCATGCCAAAAAAACCCCGAAACCCAGTCACCATTAGTCCCTCACACCGCACCCCATGGAGGAGTTATAACAAGTCTTCGTGACTTACCCCAGTTGCGACGCACAGCTGTCACCGTCAGCGGAGCGGTGAACGTCAGGTTGGAGGAAGCCCAACCCCTGGGCACTTCCCGGCCCAGCACGCGGTACTCGCCGACAGGGAGCAAAGGAGCTGAGCACTGCAAGGTGGAGCGAGCGATGGTGATGCCGCTACAAGCAAAGTCTCCGACAAATACGTAGATGGTGTCCATTTCTGTGACCCGTGACACGGTCATTGTTAAAAGGAGACCAGTTGCAACAAGCGAAAGGAAAGCTGGGGTAGACTCCCTGTTGTAACTTATTCTTCCAAGGTAATAGGAGATGCCATCTACTTTTAGACTCAGAGCCTTAGTCCCGTTACCCGGAGGCACCGTGCACTGGATAGCAATGCAGGTGACACTGAGAACAAGGCAAGGGTGATGATCTATGAGAACAGAAGTATTTCTCTTTCCTTTCAGTGCAGAGCCTGTTAAGGTGAGCAAGCCTCCACCATGGGTACTGAAGTTCTGTGGGTAAAACTGGTGCACCTGAGGCGGGATGGTGAGAACACTGGATGCCTTTCTGAAGCAAGCTTGCCCACTTTTCCTGTTAGATATGGAAATGTTGTGCTCTCCTGGGGCAAAGCAGTCCGTCTGGCACTTGATGCTGGTCTCATTCCAAAACGTTACCTTGCAGACAGCCTGGTTATTCAGGTGTACCACAGGGCTGTCACTTGGCCATGCCAACCTCTGTCCTTTGATCATCACGTAGGTGAATGTCCCATTGGTCTCCCAGGTGACCAAATCTACAAGAGGGGTCCACTGCTCACGAAGGTGGAGTGTACAGTCTCCAAGGCAGACACTGCTCATCCCATTGACAGTCACTGTGACGTTGAGAGCCCAAGATGCCTCAGCCAACCACTGGTAATGCAAAGGATGGGCCCTTGGAAAGACAATACAACTGATGGCATCATTCTCAGAGTTCTGGATACCACAGGAATAATTACCCTCCAGGCTGACCTGTACCAAATTCCTCCTGGACTTTAATGCAATACCAGATATAGTGAGTAACATTCCACCACAGATTGACCCTTGTGATGGGAATATGGAGGTTATCCGTGGAGTTATCGTAAGGGCCTGCATCCCTGCTGTCACACGAGCATATCCTAGCTGTCTCTGAATAACCTGAATGGGGAAAATCCCAGGTTCCAGGCCATTCAGTGGCAAAGAACACCGATAAAACATTGCAGACTCATTGTCACGTTGAAACTGGAGTTCACATTCACTGTGACCAAGCTTAGCCACAGATCCAGTGATGTTTATTCCCTGGATGTTCAAGAGGAGGTTGCTATCTGTGATTTCCATTTCAACAACAGTAATTAGAGGAGTCAAAGCTCTTTGGTAATTAAACATGGTCATGTTTTTTGCAAAAACAGTATGTTTAAATGACCTACTGCTGATGACCACACTTATTCCTACAGAGATGTCTTGTGAATCTTCATTAGACAAATTAGTAGCTGGAGGCGTCAGGCACCAAATTGCCTCTTCTGTCAGGTGGGTAACCATACAAGTTTTCCTGTTCATTGAAACAGAAACCAGGGCAGGATTTTGGCTAAAGCCCACCCCAGAGATTGTGAGCAGTGTTCCACCTAGGAGTAAAACAAAACAAGGGGTGAGGAGGACATGAAATGCAAGAAAGGCTTCAACGACTGTCAGTGTACAATCACAAACAGTGACAAAGTTGGTAAGCATAGCAGCCAGGTTGAATGGAAGAAGAAATGATGTACTTTTTTGGAATAAGACACCTAACACTCACATATCAGGATAATCCTATGTGGACAAGAGTGTAAGGTGTCAGATATCCAGGGACCATCATGGCAGCAAGTGACAGTAGAAAGCCATCACAGAACCAGAGGAAGCTGTTTTACCCCCAAGAGTAATAAGAGACTGGGAATGGGAATGCCTATGCAGGCAGGCAGGGAGATGGTTTTGGGATGCAGGATGCAGCACAAATACAAACAAAAAGGTGGAACCACAGACTTGAATCTTCAGTTCTGCCTGGCCATTCAGGCAGTGCCAGATTTGCCATGCACTGATGGTCACTTGCCCTTGAGGAGTTCACTGACCAGAAAAGCTGATACACTGATGAATGCTTCCAGCTTCATGCTCTTCCCTACTTACATGCTCCCAGTCTGCACCATTTAGGATGAGTAGGATAGGAAAAGGAAGAGAAGAGCAGTTCTCTCTCCACTGTCCAAGGCAACTCTGACCAGGGCTTCCCATGCATGGGTTGGAGGAAGGCAGGCTGTCTGCTTTCCCCTCTGGTTGCCTGGATGGTTTTATTCCCTGGCCATCTACTTAAGACCATAGAAGATGACAGCAAATGGGTAAACAGACCACTGGTGTGAACTGGGAGGGTCATTAACATGGAAAAGCAACTCAGAAAGAGTTATGCACAAAGTTATGACCCCCAGCTGAGTCTGTCCTTGTTTCTAGTTTTGGAAGACGGTTGTAGAGAAGCATCATCATACACTGCTCTACCCATAGAGTCTTCCTAAATCATCCTGTGTCTGGGTCACTGGTTGACAGGCTATTTTTGGTCTGATCCAACACTGTTGTTCTACAATGTGGCAGTGGAGTCTTGCTCTCCACACCAACAGGAGAAGGAACACTGGTAGTCTCTTCTACCACCCTTACCACAGAGTAGGTGCTAATTATCTGGAACAAGCATGAATCCTGATGTCTGGATTTACGTAACATTGCAAAGCAGCAGTATGGGCACTGCCTCCCAGGATGCTGAGAATAAGAGTAGCTCTGAACAAGAAGTCTGGATTTTAGGATGTGACAAGGACAAAGATGCAAACTCTCCAACATTCCCAGCCTAATCCCGAATTTCCAAACCCAAAGCTGCCTCCCTTAAACCCATCTGAAGCCTTTATCCATCTTCCTTTACTTTGCACTCCCAGTGCTCTGCCTTGCTTCACCCTTTTTATCCATTAAGCTCATGTGCTTCCTTTTCCCATGATCTGGCTGAAAAATAAGTTGTTTTATAATGGAGTTCCTTCTGAGTCAGCTCAAATCCTTAATCCAGATGACCACACAAATGTTAGAGACAACAAAAACCTAGACATAAGACAGGGGAAGGACTGGTGCTTTTTGCAGTGATGAGAGTCTAAATCAGCTTAAGTCATTCATAAAACTACAGCCAAAGAGTTAATCAGTTCTTATTTCAATTTACCCTTAAATATGAATAGAAGGGTGCCTTTTTTTTTTTTTAAAGTATAGCTTAATCATCAAAACTGATAGCCTTTGCGCTCCAAGCTCTATCCACACTCTCATCTTTCAAGGCTTAAGCACTTCAAAAGCTGTTGAACTAATCACGTACCACAAAGCCTCTGAGTTTTTGTATCTCTAAATGTGTTGTGAGCCTGGGAGAATAATCTGTGGAGGAAACGAGGTTGCATCACGAGACTTCCTCTGTCTTCTATAAAAGTGTTTCTACAGGCGCATGTAGAATGCACTACAGGGATTCAGCTCTTCCCCCACCCCCAGTCAAATGACAAAATAAATCAACCACCCCAAATCTGCTTTTTAAGATTTAAAGTAAAACTTTTCTTTTTAATTCATGATGTTTCATTCTGAAACACACTTAAATTATTTCCAATGTTTAAAAGCTTGGAATAGGATTAATAAATATTTCACTTTTGATTAAAATTAACATTGAAAAAGGTTTTTTCTGTCTTTTCAACTTAACAAAAATGAACATGCCCTTTGGGATCACTTGAAGTTGTTTGCTTCAAACCACAATCGTACCCTGCTTTCCACCTAACTTTCACATGGAAAGCCTTGAAAGATGGAGGCATAATGACTGCAAGAAACAGCACAGATGAGTCAGGTGTGGGCGTGATTTGCTTTCCCAATAGGAACATGTAAGGATACAGGAGCAAACACTTTGGGAAATCAAATTCAAAACACAGGGACCCCTGAGCCAGCCAACCAGATTGAGGGATGCTCACTGCAATCCCACATTTCCAGACATCTGCTGTCTGCCGGTTGATGTCTGCACAATAAAGGATCACAGATTTAAAACACCCTCATTTAAACTGATATGAAATGGGATGCCCTTTCCATTCCTGCAGGAAAACCATGTCCTTGATCCCTTTAACCTCCATAAGCAGTTGCAGATGTGCCAACGCTGTTTACCCAGAAAGGAGCCACAACACGGCTCTATGCTGAAGATCTCTGAGACATACTGGATTAACGGCTCAACTCTGCAAAACACAAGCAACATAGAAAATACTTTTTTGAGGTGTGGGTTTTATTTTATTATTTATTTTTCTCTCCTGCTGCAGCATTATGCTTCCTTACAACTCCTCCAAGGCTGGAAAGCCAAACACCCACCTGGCATATCCCCCTTGTTCAATGCTACAGTGACAAGACCACCCCACCCAGTTTTTTCCATGTGATTTGAGCTACGTTTATTATGAACATTGTCTGATCAAGTGGCACAAATTAATTGCCCATCAAAAGAAGCGAGGAGGAGGGAGGTTTCCCAAATAGATCCGACTAGCCATGCCCACAGACAGGAGACACAAGTGCACAAAAGAGACATCCCAGCTGCTTCCCTCCTTACATCCTCCCACCAGGCAGTGGGGGTAACTGCAGCAAGAAGCAGCCAAGATATAACCCTCTGAAACCCACTCAAAAAAGAGTGTGGATCTGCTTCTGTCCCACCTACATCTATTTTTCCGCCTCATCGCCCTTCTTTCAAAAACACTTCCTGCCCTAAAAAGACACAGAGAAGTAGACCCTCCCAAGCCTATAATCCAGCCCACCAGAGATAAGAGTTGTCTCCTGGGATGACCCATCTCCCTCCACTCTCTGTCCCTGGAGACAAAGTGATGGTGCTGCCAAGAGCCTCCAGTATCAGAAGGGATGAATCCCTGCATGCCATAGAATCACAGAATGGTTTGTGTTGAAAGGGACCTTCATGCCCACCCAGTCCCAGCCCCTGCCATGGGCAGGGACACCTTACACTAGACCAGGTTGCTCCAAGCCTCATCCAGCCTGGCCTTGAACACTTCCAGGGATGGGGCATCACCCCACCAACCACAGGCTTTCTCCTTCTGAAGTTTATTAATGAAACAAGCTATTTAGGATGGTTTGTGAGCAACAAAAACAGCTCCCTTCTCCCCAGTATCATTGTTTCACGATCATTCCTAGCAGATGCCATGGATGAGAGTTCCATGGCTGAGGAACAAAACTGTGGTGCTTGTGAATGAATTGTTGCATCCCACTTTCAGGTAGGTTTTCCCCCCATTTTAATTCATTTATACTACATTTATCTAGGCATGAACTTGAAATGTCACCTTAAGAGATGGAAACAGCATCATTTAAAAATTCTCCAAACAAAGCATTTTTTTATTTTTCAAAATAGCTTTTGTTTTTCTCATGAAAAGCGATTCTTTTCTTGTGCTGTTTTTCTACAGCAGGATTTATCTGCATTTGACCTGAATCTGTGAATATCTTTGTCTGAATATGCATTTTTCATCAAATCAACTGTTTTTTCTAAAATGTTTCTCTTCTGCCTCCTACTGATCCAAGGGGAGTTAATTGACTAGCATTAGCAGTTTGCTGACTTGGGTTCCACAGATCAATAAATGCCTTGATAATTATTCATAATTATATACTACACTGCATGTTTTACTGTTAGGTACAGAATTTTTGAAAACTCTTACCTTTCCTTTCAGATTAACCCTAAAATACCCAATAGGATAGAAAATTAAATTTATATCTGAAGGAAAATACATGCATTCACACACCTGCTTGAAGAGACAGCAATGCCGTTGATGATGACAGAAACATTGTACCATCCCTCAGCCAACGGTGGAAGTATCACATTAACACCATGGTCCGTCTGCACCTGGATCTGTGCCCACGAGCCCCCAATTTGGACCTTGATATCTGACCCACGGTAGCTGGAAAACTGGGATATTCCAATCTGAAGCTCCTGCCCCCCTGCAGAGAGGAGAATGGATGAAACTATTTCAGTGGTTTTGGCAACAGTTATTTTATCATGCATTTGCCCAGGGAAGAGCACGGGGTCCCATCATGCCACAAGAGGTCCAGTCATGTCCATCAGCCCAAAACAAAAACTAGAAAACCACAGTGGTTTTGTATTCTACTCATCACCTGACATCCCTGATATCCCTTTCAGAAGGATATTGACCACTTGGAGCGAGTCCAGAGGAGGGCCACGAAGATGCTCAGAGGGCTGGAGCACCTCTCCTATGACAAAAGGCTGCAACAACTGGGCTTGTTCAGCCTAGAGAAGAGGAGGCTCCGAGGAGACCTCATTGCAGCTTTCCAGTATCTGAAGGGGGCCTACAAGGATGCTGGGAGAGGACTTTTTACAAGAGCCTGTAGTGACAGGACAAGGGGTAACGGGTACAAATTGAAATCAGGGCGGTTTAGATTAGATATCAGGAAGAAATTCTTCCCAGAGAGGGTGGTGAGGCACTGGAACAGGTTGCCCAGAGATGTTGTGGATGCCCCATCCCTGGATGTCTTCAAGGCCAGGCTGGATGAGGCTTGGAGCAACCTGGTCTAGTGGAAGGTGTCCCTGCCCATGGCAGGGGGGGTGGAACTAGATGATCTTTAAGGTCCCTTCCAACCCAAACCATTCTATGATTCTATGATAAGGTCACCAGCCATCAGGGTTGTCCTCAGTCGTTACCAGTGAACATGGCTATGGTCTTCAATGGCCACTCTCAGCCTGCTGGTACACATTCAGGATAGGATCCATACCCCCTTACCATAAACATCTATCCTATAAATACCTGCAGCTGATTAGAGCCTAATCCAGTCTGTCTAATGCTCACAAACTGAAGCTAAGAGTTTCTGGGATTTTTCCTAAATCCCTGGCAAAACATCCAGACCGCATTTTTCAGCATTTTGGAGTTATCTCACTTTAAAAGGAGGCAGCTATATGAAAATCTATGCGGGTACCTAAAGGCATATGCCCACATATGCCTTTGTTTTCAGGAAACATGGCACACACTCCAATTTAAGCTTTATTGTGAGCCAGATTTATTCAGATGATAGAGGACACTTTCCTTTATTTGTGCATACTGCAATAATAGAAAAGGACAATCCTGTGTGATCTACTCTAGGTGATCCTGCTCTGGCAGGGGGGTTGGACTAGATGATCTCTAGAGGTCCCTTCCAACCTCTACCAGTCTGTGAATCTGTGACAAGGACAAGAGAAGGGAATTTCATAGCCTAAATTCCTCTTGAAATAGCTTAAAAAAATAGGGTGGTATGCATTAGTGCAAATAAAGACATTTTCACTGAGATAGGTATATCTGTGGTCGACAAAGAAACAGAGAATTTGTGTCATGATTCATCTTATTGTAAGGAAGATATACAATAGAGTTGTGGTGAATCCTGCCACAGAACCATCTGTTTCTCTTCACTGACTATGCAAGACATGTCAACAACAGACACAGAGACATGTTTAGGAGTTGAATCTCAACCTCTTTTCTCCCCTGAAGGACGTGGGTCCAATTGCACAGGAGCAGGAATAAACAGGCCTAGAAGGGGTCTTCAAGTCTGACTCCCTGCTGTCATAGACCTCTATGTTACATAAATCCCTTTCCTAAATTAATCAAGTAAAAGGTGTGAATGTCTCTCTACCATCCACCTGAGCTGGCCAGCCCAAAACACTTGTTGCTCCACAGAGTTGCTCCAGACCAGACAGTGAAGATCAGCGGTCACAGAACAGCTTCATTTTTGCTCATTCCTCTTCTTCACTGAGCACGTGGCACTGTTTTCCCAATCAGCCAGGGAGGTACTCAGGAGCAGCTCATCTGCTTTCCTCTCTCACCTTGTCTTAATGCAAATTAACTTTTGTAGGTTGATGCATCCTTACTAGACATTCAGATCTGAGCAGCAATTTTGTCACCCAAGCAGAGGCCAGTGTCACTTGGCTTTAGTTTGCCTCCACAGCAGGCACGCTCACCATTGCCATTCAGCTCCATGGCCTCAGCTTTGGAGAAATCTCTGCTTTCCACAAAGCAGGAGAGTCTGTACAAAGCTCCCCTCATCTACCAGCTCCTCTAAGCAGGTCTTGAAGCCAGTACTTTTCAATTCTGCACGTGCAAGGAGTCAAATAAAGTTTGAAAGCCTGCAAAGTTGAATATATTAACAGCATGAACTCTTTGGACTCTTGGTCAATTGTCAGCTTAATCCTAGATGCCTGGAAGGCATCGGTGTAATTTATTTATTCTTTTTATTATATAGGGGGAAAATGATATTAAAAGACGAAGCTGTGGAGGTTCTGAATAGGAGATTAAACTCAGCCACACCACCATTCACAAGAGGCTGTAACATTAAGGAATTCCTTGCACCTGGGCTGCCCGCGGCTAGAAAAATCTCCTCTTGGTGCTATGGTATCTGAATAATATTCAGATGATAAAGGACAATTTCTCTTATTTATGCATTCTAGAGTAATAGAAAATGACAAGGGCATTTGGGGAAAGGAATAGAAATGCTGGGCATGCAGTATGTCGTCACTGGCAGTCACCTAACTCCTCGCATCCCCACCAAGTCCAGCCAAACTGCTGAGCTGGGGGGAACTTTATTAAGGTGAGCACTGGGGAGGTAGCAAAAGAGGGAAAAAAAAAATAAATCAGATGATTGCTTCCTTGGAGGAAAGAGTAGGATGGGTAGGGAAGCAGGAATAATTCTGTCTTCCTCCTATATTCCTTTCTCACTCTCTCAGATACTACCAACCTGGTGTCTGGTTACCACACAGAAATGTAGTAAAACTTCTTCCTAAGAGACTTGTCTGTAAGTGGACATCATTCACCATCAGTGCCTTGTATTCCCAACACCCAGCCAAAACCTTAGGAGTTGAGGAGGGAAATGAGCAAAAAACCCCAAATCCAAATTTTCAAGACAGGAATGCTAAACACTTCTTGAGATCTACTTGGGATTTTGGCCCCACAAATTCTATGCTCATATTCTAAAGTAACAGATCACAAGGTCAAACTGGAAGAAACAGTTCGGCTTGGAAACGAGAACTAGCAAGACAAGGGCTGTCTCTCTTCTGCTTTCAGCAACCCACAATGCACATGAGGCACTTTGTGATCAACCCTTTGGGATCCTGAAGAAGGACACTCTCTAGAGATCATTTCTCTTGTCGTGGCTGAACTGTCTACCAAGAATGAATGGGTGGGTTAATTTCAGAGCAGAGTTAAAGAAATGTGACACATAAGGAACGTTGTTCCACACCTGACATCCTGTGGACATCATCCATGCTGGTCTAAGGCAATCAACCTGTTATCTCATGTATGCTAGATTAAAACCAGCATAAAACAACCAAGACTGGCAGGAAACACAGGGGATAGAAGTTAAAAGAAAACATCAAAAAAGCCAGTGTGGGATTGCCAAACTCCATAGACCTAAATTCCCTCTGCCCCACCACCAACAGCACTTCTGCAGTGGATGGGCAATATATGCCTGCAGCCTTCTCACCTGCTATGCCACTTCTGTTTCTGCTCAGTGACACAATAGTAGGGTTTAAGGAAGGATCATACTGGAACAAGTTGGATACCCTTGTTGACTGGTACCCAGAAATTAGTGTCACATGGACAGCAGCATCTCCTGTCCCCTAGAAACAGAAATGAAGAAAGCATCAGGGCTAATAATACACCAATAATTAAAATATAAATATATATATTCACTATACTCCTGCATCTCCCATACCTAAAAATTATATGGGCACTGATTAAATTTGTATATACACCAGACTCAAATGTGGATGATTACATTGTCTTTACAGAGACATCTATGGAGAGTTATAAACCTTAAAACAATCATAGAATAGAATCATAGAATCATAGAATGGTTTGGGTTGGAAGGGACCTTAAAGATCATCTAGTTCCAACCCCCCTGCCATGGGCAGGGACACCTTCCACTAGACCAGGTTGCTCAGAGCCACATCCCAGCCTATGCAGATTTTCATTTGCTGTATCCATACTAATAAATTAAAACACTGATAAGTCATAGGCATAGACAGTTATCCCAACACTTAAACTATTACCATCGTCCTGGGTATAATTTTGCCATGCAGCAAAGACCACTGCTGCTGCCTAGGCATGTTTTTGCACATCGCACAGACAACGTCCAGAGAAGGTTTGGATGTCAACCTGAAGATTTAGAGCTGAAGAGGGTTCAACAGTGTGAGCAAGTGCAATTGTCCTAGGTATGCTTAATCTACAGTAGACAACTGAAAGTGGAGATATGCAATTTTGCTGGAGTTAAAAGCAAAAAAAAAAAAAAAAGCAGTTTTGTTCATGTGATGCTTAGCTAACTATGTTGAAATCTGGAGGGGGTTTTTTCCTGTTTAATTGGTTTTCATAAGTCACCTATAAGGTTATTGTTAATTAAGCTGGTCTAAACTGTAGGTGGAATCCATGTTAAATTGTACCACAGCCAAGACTTGGCTGATGGGCTACTGTTTGCCCTTCCCTTGGTGGAGCTCAGGCCAAGAAAACAGAGAAAGGCCTGTAGGCTGCTGACTCTTCCTAAAACAATGTGGTTTCTTACCCGAGAGGGAACTTTACATTCAATTCTTGTTGAATTTCGGTCATCCTCCAAAATTGGGCAAGGCAGAGATCCAAACAACACCAAGTTTACCCCTTCCAGATTGGTCCCCCTGAGAGCCACTTTCAGTCCTCCTACAAAACCAATTATTCCATTACATTCAAGATGTGGAATAATATTTTTATATACAAAGGATTCTTTTTTAATAGGTGTCTATAAAAGGGAGCACTGCCTCTCAATTGATCTGATGATCCACCGTACTGTGTCTAGCTTCCTCTCTTTCACCAGAGATCTTTCTGACCTATTATTTGAATTCTTTTCCATGATACAGTAAGACTGCCTTTGCTTCTCGGTTTATTTTTTAATTACATACTTACTTAAGCCAGCAAGGTCTGACCTGTGATTTCAGCCTTAGAAAGATCCCCAGCCCAAGAATGAAATAAGGAAGGAAGGAAGAAGCACTAAGAATGGGAAATGAGCTTAACACAGCAGGTGCTTTCACAGTTCAAATAGCTGCCAAGCACCCTGCTGTCAAAAAAGCCTGTAGCATGTGTCTAGGAAACTTAGGTTAGAAAGGGGACTTGGCAGGGCTCGAGATTTAGCAGAGTTGTGAGGAAAGTCAGAGGGCTTGATTCTGCAAAGCACTGAGCAACCTCAGCTCTCCTCTGTAGCAGCCAGAGCTGAGCCTCGTCAGTCACACAGGATCATACCCGACACAAATCAGACTTGCACTTGATTTTTCTGCACCTCTACATGCCCATGCAAATAATCAAGGTGCCTTTCTGCTTTTTCCAGTGACTAGGAGATTCAGGGGCATTTTCAAGAGAACAGGAATGGACATTAATGGCAATTCTAAGCTGGACTTTGGTTTTTGATGCAATTCAGAGACCAATTAAAAAAAATATGAAAAGAAATTTTGCCTGAAAGTTAGAGGTGTTTGCTCTAGTTATCAGTACTGCAGAGTTTCTGGACAATGGCTGGACAGACAGACTGCTCAAACAGCAACTTTATTAATGCAATGTTTAACGTGTATGTGCTATACTGCAAACCAACTGTGCTTTTATGAAGTTTTTCATTTGTGCTGTAAGTAAACTTCTGTGATAAAGTTATTACATATTGATGTCAGAGTCTCTTGCACCTTTTTCTCAAAGCATTGCTTTAAAAAGTTAGCAGGAAACAACAGAGAAGCCTGAAAGTTTATTCTTCTAGGTTTTCTCTGGCAGCAAAACCAGGCAAACAACAGCAATCAGATATGTAGACAGCAAGCTCTTTCCATCCGCTGGAGCATGGCAGTTATCTTCAGAAAGGCATTCCATGCTTAGGAACATCCCAGCATGGCACTACTGAGACCAATGATATTTTGAGAAGAGGGACTCGATGCAGCAAAGCACACAATGCTCACCAGCTACCTCTCCCGTAACGTTAAGTTTGCAAAGCCAGAAACAGCAAGAACTCAAAACTGAAGCCAGTTCTCTAAGGTGATAGTTGTCAGATAAGGAGCCTCAGATTTAGAGTACAAAAAAAAAATCTGTGTGTGTTGTCTAAAGCCTGATGCTCTTAAGTTTTGATATCTACACTTATATCCATATGCAATGAAATACTGCATATGTGCACTTTACGATAAGATTGAAGAGAGGTATTTTAAATGAAAGAAATTAAAAACACAGATGGAAGCTGTAAATCTTTCCAATTATAAATGTTCAAGGCATATGTAACGTAAGATAGCATTATACTTGCTCTCTCTTTAATGAGTGACAGATCACTGTAATTGGGAGAACTGGATTGTAGGCGAAGAAAATGAGAAGCCAGGCCCAAGCACTAAACTTGCCATTGCTGGCTTGTTTCTTCTAGGGTTTTTTGGGGGTGGGTTTGGGGTTTTTTTGTTTGTTTGACTGGTTTTCTTTGGGTGTTTTATGAATCAAAATGAGTTGTAAAATTAATGTACTCTATGACCCTTCTATTAGGAAAAATAAGTGGAAAGATAAGGATTAGAATATCTTTCTTCCCATGCTCCCCCACTTAACATAAAGAGGTGGTCATAACTTCTTGATTTTCAGCTTAAGAACCTTACATTGTTCCAAGTCCATCCCATAGCTTATCCACAGAAAGGTTCACATCATTCCTTTCCTCTGCCTGCTCCAAGGTGACCAATCAGTTCTCCAAGCCACGTGGCTGAGATAGTTTCATGATGCACCTGGGCCAGTACTCCTGCCTCAGTGATGTTTGTAACCATGAACTCAAAACACCTCAATAATGAAACTAGAAGGTTTCCAGACCAAAGCTGGGTAACTTTTACTATCAGAGTGACTGTAGATGATGAAGATCTTGGTAGTGAAAGTACAGAACCACCAAAACACGCCATGAAAAACAAGAAGCAGAAAGCAGATGTTTCCTTAGAGCTGGCCTGGCATTCAGACCTACCAATCTCTGAAGCTGTAGGAGGTTCAACAGCTACCAGCTTTGGCTCAACTCTTAGGAAGACGCCTTCTCCTGTGCTGGCATTGAGTGCGAAGCCGTAAGGTCTCACCAGTAACATTAACCAGTAGACTCCCACTGGCAGCCTCTCCATCTGGCAGACCACTCGGGTTTGATTCGACATCACAACACGGCAGGTCATGTTGTTCACCTCCACCTGCAAGGCTGGCTTCTCCTCGGTGAAGCCAGCTCCCCTGATAACTACTGTGGCCTGGGACCCATCATCTGAAGGAAATCAACAAGACATCTCATGAATTCCAGGGTAACAATACCCAGGATTTACTTCCAAACAACAGTTTTTACCATCTTCATCAGGACATCCTGAGGATCTCTCATTGTCCTCAGAATGTTTATTCCTGCCTCTCCCAGCTATTATGTTTTTCCATATTTTTTTTTTAAATACTTTGAGCCAAAATCCAACTTTTCACTTTAAGCATCAAGCTCACCACTGTTTCTCACCCTTTGATGCCTCTACCATCTTCACATTGCTGTAGAAACATGCCTGTGATACATACTTTCAAACTGGAGCTGATCAGACCTGCCTCGTTAGAAGATTCAGTTTCCATAAAATCAGAAATTTCCAAAAGAATACACATGCACACAAAACCATCAGCATCTGGCAGATCTTTTTCACAGAACAGTGGTTTTGCCATTTTGTTCACGCACAAAGCCCCGTTACCTGACAAATACTCCACATCGCTGACTAAAGGTGTCAATTCCTGGCTGAACTGGAAAGAACACGAACCAGAACAGTTTGCAAGGACATCATTTACCACCACCACCACCTGGAGACAGGGAAGAAGGTTACTCTAAAGCTGGGAACAGAGGAGTTTTCCAGAGTCACATCTACTTGGTAGACTTGCAGAGCGATGCCTGTAGCCACACTGAGCTACCAAGAGCCCATTGACTGTGCCAGCACAGAGCACTGTCAGCTGTCTGTCCTGCTGCAGTCTCATTAAAATTTAATTGCAAGGCTTGGTGGAGTTCCATCTGCGGCAAAGGAGAGCACAGCTTTGGAAACTGTATCACCAGCCTTTCCCGGTGTCTGCAGGACTCCATCTCCCACCTTGCTGGGACCCACAGCTCCTTCCAGGTCCTGTTTTTAGTCATCCATTGAAGACCCTGGTTGCCATACCCAGTTTTTCCCACCCTGCCTTGGGAACAAGTTTATTATGTTTAAAACATCCTGTAAGACCAATTAGAATGATTCCCAAAATGTGTCTTTTCAACATGCTGCCCTTTTTTTTTTTCCCCTTGCTGTTCATGCTTAAACAAAAAAGTTGGGCTGTGACCTCAGTTATCTAACAAGAGATATCAGGAGATCTCTTCTGACATCTTCATCTCTCAGAAGAGTCAACTGGCAAAGCCCAGGGCACAGGAGAGCCTCTCTTCATCTTTCTCCCAAGTATTAAGAGTATTCCAGGAGGGTACCCCATAGCCTACAAAAAGCAAAAGCAGACTGTCTCCAAGAAATGCAAGAGCAGAGTTGCGAAGTTTAACTCACCTGTGTTTTATTATTGAAGGTAGCAAGCATGTCCCCAAATATTGGTCCAATAAACACACCCCCATCATAAACCACACGACTAGAAACAGTTGCCTTCAGACCAGTGAGGTTTTCAGCAGAGACCTGGTGAAGAACAAAGAATTGAAACTTCTCATGCTTTTCCATCCTGTGATTTTAAATTAAAACCGTTCCCCCAGAGTTCATAGTGTCATTACAAGGCAGCAAATAACTCCTGGAAACCTCTTCTCATGCTTCTTCCATGACTCCTATCTTCAGGTCTAAACCTGCTTTATCCAAGACTTCACAACACTTCCCTGTTCCCATCCTCCCCTTGCAGGCAAGAAACTGAGGCAAAGTGATTCAGGAACCAAGTTTGCAAATAAACTTCCAGTACTCAGTAATATCATTTGGAATTAAGCACCGAAATAGCTTTGAATGTCTGCTTTCATGACTTTGGATCAAACAAGCTCCTGTGTTAGAGCTGAAGATGCAGCTTAAGATTTTTTCACCATCCAGGCCAATGTCTGGAGCATGAGACAATGGGGATTTGCCTAACTGAAGATCATTTTACACTTTTAGAAGCTGGATAAACAAAGAAATAGTTTTTCTTTTGGGAGAAGGAAGCAGCTCAGTCTGAGTCCTTATTCAAAAAAGATGCTTCTACTTAAAGCAAAACTTAAACAATAAATCTTGAGATGGGTGGGTGTGAAATGAACCTTCATCTGAGACTGATGAGAACCAGATATGCACCCATAAAGAACAGTTCTCAGAAAAGCTCTTCTTGGCCCATAAATGCTGCTGCAAAGCTGTACTGAGCTTCAGTTACTGTACTGAAATATTAATGTGATTATAATAGCTTTCATTTCAGTATAGCTGTCTCTTTATTGTGCAGAACTGCAACAAAGCACAAAAATTACATTCTAGCCTCCTCATTTTGAAGCACAGGCTCTGAAGATGTAATTTCTCCTCCTGTAACTGCAATTGGTTTTTTTAATCATCTAATCTCGAATTTGCTTAAACTGCTGTTCCTAATAGGAGGATAGATTGCCTAAGGTCCCACAGGTGTTTTCATAAAAACAAACACTGGGAGAATGGCTCAGCCAAGGCCAAAGACATTGAATGGGGCTCAAAGCAGGTGTTAGTAAAATAAATTACGGTACATTGATAACATTGGGCAAGTCCCCTGTTTTTGTTTTCCAAGTCAGCGTCCAGATGTTTTCATAGCAAGAGGTTGAGTCTTTAGTCACGATGAAGTCACTGGTGTTGAAGTACGGGGCTGTAGAATGATCACTTTTTTCTTGCAAAAGCTTGTGGAGATGGTGAGAGGAGATGTGCGCTGAAACACCTGCAAAAGACAGACAGCAGTGAATACCCTCATGGCTAGGAGAGCACATCTACCTCCTCCTAGATGTGAAATTTTCTGGATCCCAAATGACAAAAGATCTGCACTATTTAATGCTTAAGAAAACCTAGAAACCTTTTTCCAGGTAGGACCATCAGAAATTTTGTCTAAGTGATAATTTTCATTACATGCAACCTACATTTTTAAGAGACATGAAATTTCAGTGTTCAAGTCACATTTCTTCAAAATAGTTAGGGTAGAAACTTCCTAGATAAGAGGGTGTGTGGAGTGGGGGAAGTCAGTCGGAGATGGTGACCTCGTAGAGTCCAGTCCCAAATACATGCAAACAGTATCCTATTTCTTTGACATAAGTACCCATCGCCAAAGCTGCAGGTACAATAAATCTCTCTAAACCAATTCATAATAAGGAGGGGAAAGCACAAAGCCTGGGAACATGGCAAGAGTAATGGATTACAATTTTAAAAGGTGGTATTCCAAGCAGGGCACTATTGAGACAGCCCTTAGCTGCTGCAGAAAATTTCTGAGTGGCAACAAGGAGAATATTAATGAAATAATTCTTTCCTAAGGTCACATTTTCCTATTTTATGATTTGACTTTATAACTGAGTCACCAGTTACTCAGGTGAGAACTTTCTTATTGGCCTTGCTCATATTAACCCACTCACTTTCATTCTAAGCCTCTTGGAATGTTGAAGCCAAACATGAGAAAACCTAGCACATCTGTAGGGTGACTAATTCAAGTCAAGCAATTCTATGCACAAAAGCTTTGTGGTATCTGTAAACCAGTCATCAATCCTGGCCATCCGAGAAGAAAATTAACATCCTCATAACCTGCACAGGCCTCATCACACAAAATGCTCAGAAGTATATGTGCTGGAGAAATATCAGTATAATGAAACCTTGGGATGCAAAATCCCAATTCAGGATGTGATCCAAAGTTCTTTAACATTAAGGCCAATGTTTCATTGTGGCTGTATGCCTTTTGGAACAACCATAACTAACATCTAGAAATACTTCCCCATCTATAAGCCTTAATTCCTGTCTTGAAGGAGATCAAATGAAAAGGTCCAGCAGCTATCGCAATGGGTTTAACCTGCCAGTCTGTACCCCGAGTATTCCAAATGTTCAGTATTGTCTCTTCTTCACTTGGCTTCCTGCAAAGGAAATCCAGGACTTGTGCTTGCATCTTTTCTTACCTGATATTACTGTATTGGCCAAGTGGATGCGGAAGGTCCCTCCAAGAGGTGGAGATGACTTTTGCACCGTCTGAATGGTGAGGCTGACTCTCACATCCTCTGTGGAGACGTAGAGGTGGCCATACTCCCTAGAGCCTTCCCCAAGCAAGGCACCTCTGTGTGACAGAGAGGGTTCACATGAAGGCATTAGCAGTCACGACCCCCATTCCTGACACCCCCATGTCACCAGCAGCAGAGGGACACCTATGGGAATACCACTCTTGAAGGACCTAAGGAGAGCACGTTCCGAGCTCAAAGGGAACGTCAGGAGAAGTGCGGCCAGCAGGTTGAGGAAGGGGATTCTGCCCCTGCATTCTGCTCTTGTAAGACCCCACCTGGAGGGCTGCATCCAACTGTGGAAGCCTCAACATCAGAAAGATATAGACTGGTTGGAGCGAGTCCAGAGGAGGCCACGAAGATGCTCAGAGGGCTGGAGACCCTCTGCTATGATGAAAGGCTGAGAGAGTTGGGCTTGTTCAGCCTGGAGAAGGGAAGGCTCCGGGGAGACCTTATTGCAGCCTTCCAGTGCCTGAAGGGGCTACAAGGAAGCTGGGGGGGACTTTTTACAAGGGTCTGTAGTGACAGGACAAGGGCTAACGGGTTTAAATTGGAAGTGAGGAGGTTTAGATTGGACATCAGGAAGGAATTCTTCCCGGAGAGGGTGGGGTGGCACTGGGACAGGTTGCCAAAGAAGCTGTCGGATGCCCCATCCCTGGAAGTGTCCAAGGCCAGGCTGGATGAGGCTTGGAGCAACCTGGTCTAGTGGAAGGTGTCCCTGCCCATAGCAGGGGGGTTGGAACTGGATGGTCTCTAAGGTCCCTTCCAACCCAAACCATTCTATGATTCTGTGCATACTCCCAGCTTCCACCTACATAATATAAGCAATGCACACAATAGAAAATTACGGAAAACCACCTTTTAAAATTATGGTAGAAGAAATGGTTCATGCAGCACCCAGCACAAGCAGGTCCTGCCCCAGTACTGGTGGTTTTGCAAGACCAACTCAATGAAGCCTGGACAGCAGCTACAACATAAGGCAAAAAGCTTGCTTACTTCGTCCTGGAGTCTACCAAAATTTTAACTCCCCTGAATTACAGCGATATTTTGTATGAGAGTTCACCTAAAGCCCAGTTTTTAAAACTTAAAATATTTTCTCCCTTGCCACTGAAACGCTCCCTTTGCAAAGGAAAAAGAGGCTCTGTGGTACGATGGTGCCACCTTGCGGTTAAGTGCCTAAATAGCAGCTAAAGTCTCAGCCACGGTTTCCGCAGAGCAATTTTGGAGAACACAAAACCAAATGGACCACTGAGCCTGTACAGCCGGTACATCAGATTTTAGGCAATATTCCTGTCCCGACCGCCGCAAGGTGTATTAAAGCACAGCAGATGCTCATTGAAGAGAAAGAACTAGGTGCCTTTCGAAGATATCCAAAGACCCATTTTTAAAGCACGCACTGATTTCTGTTTTTAGTCTTCCTGGCTTCAGCGTCACACCTCGTTTTCTCTTACATCTCCCTCCGTGAGATGCAGAAGCCCACCAGTGCTAAGCACTTGGTTTTTTTCCTGGTGAGAGGTACTGTGATCAATCCATCTCAATCTTCTTTTTATAAACTAAACAGATTAAACTTCTTAAATCTTTCTCTCCCAGGCATTTTCTTCAGCTCCATAATCACGCTCATGGCTTCTTTTCTCAGTTTTCCTAAATCCCTTTGAAAAATATGCTCAGTGCTGTGCCTGGCATTCCAATGCCGGTCGTGTTAAGGTTACCTACAGGACTAAAAATTTCCCCTCTCGTTGTTATTTACACCTCTGTTTATGCATATTAAACCTCACAAACATCCCCCTGTATTCTCCTCCTTGCCTTTACCACTGGAGATTCATGTCAAAATATTACATTTAACACTGGTAATTAAATGTGCTTTTCAGAGGCATTCTTAAGTCAAATACTTCTATGCTGCACTAAGATAACTTCTACAGAACAGCTAGGTCTGACCTGTGTTAGGAAATGAATTCTTGGACTTGGGCTTTGCAAAATAATAGTCTGAGCTGCTGATGAGCAGCTATCATGTTGGGAAAACTGAGGAATAAACTAGATTGCATCACTCTCTTCGTTTGTGCTGACTTGGTCTATGTCTCTGAAGCCCAATAGGTGATTGACGAAGTCACCAAAGCCATGGATTCCACCAAGGAATGCAAGGGCTTGGCTGCTCTGGGAACCAGAGCTAATATTCTTCAGATCTTAGCCAACTCCTAAAGGAGAATCTAGCTGTCTTTAGAGCACTCAATACTAATCTCATATGGCTTTGCATGTGCTTGAAAGAGAAGAGACCACAAGGTAAGGAACCAATTAAGCTACAGCAGGCTGAAGTTCACTTTCTCCTGAAAGGATGTGTCCTGTGGGTGCCTGAGCAAGTCACTGTGGGTGAAGTAATTGAGCCAAGCTAAGAGCTGGCTGCTGCAGACGAGAAGAGGCTGCATCCTCCCAGCTTCTCCCTTGCCTGGCTCTATTCCCATCAAGACCTTGCTGACTCAGCTGGATACAATTCAGCTTTTACAGGACTTATTCTCTGCTTGTATAGTCCTTTAAAGTTGTGCTCTCTGATGTGGTCAGCCTATGGCTCTGTCTCCTCTATCATCATGGGAACTTCCAGAATAGAATCATAGAATGGTTTGGGTTGGAAGGGACCTTAAAGATCATCTAGTTCCAATCCCTCTGCCATGGGCAGGGACGCCTTTCACCAGATCAGGTTGCTCCAAGCCTCATCCAGCCTGGCCTTGAAGACAACCAGGGTCAGGGCATCCACAGCTTCTCTGGGCAACCTGTTCCAGTGCTTCACCACCTCATCTGGGAAGAACTTCTTCCTGATATCTAATCTAAACCTCCCCACTTTCAATTTAAACCTGTTACCCCTTGTCCTGTCACTAGTCATAGAAGCCATATCAGTAAGCAAGGATACAAGGTGGACTTTCATTGCCTAACATGGTAACTGATGTCATTAAAAGTTTTTGGGAGCATCTCTGGCTGATCTTCATCCACTGTTCCAGAAGGTCTTAAATCGTCTAGTCCTAAATCATATCTTTGTGTCCCACGCATCTTACATACCCCAGGTTAGCTGAAACATCTTAAGAACCTTGGCTCAGCAACTGAATCCTGCTCATACAATGGAATTCCAATACCAGAATCAGTCGTCTTCACTAAGATGTCTACAATATACGTTCAAAATCCTATATGATGAGCAAACCTCAAAACAGTTATGTGCTGAGAGTGAAGTATCTTAATTTAAAACTGCAGCCTATCTACTGACACTTGTGAAGGATTCAGTAGTCTAACCAGTATGAAAACAAGCCATCTGAAATATCTAGAGAAGTCAACTCCAATGAAAGCACAGGGACAGCAGTCTAATCCCCCGCTGCCCCTCATGTCCTGTCTTAGATGACAACCAGTTCCAGACAAGTCAGGGGGAACTGCCAGAGGTTTTACAGGGTATTGATATAATCTACTCACTGTCCCTACCTTAGAGAGAGAAGGGGCAGACTGGCACCACAGCCAGACACCATCCAGGACACATTGTAAGTGGGAGAAGACCCCACCACAGACACTGCTTCAATTATCGGCCCACCTGGTCCAGGTGGTCTGGGATGCCTCTGAGAAACTGGAAAGAAAAGAGCACAAGCATTCATTGGAGCTAGGACAACAGCTGTTACTATGCCTAGGTTATTTTCATTTCGTAGGTGGAAACTCATGGTTGGGGTTTTTATGTTTGGTCTTGTCTGTGCAAGACAATTCAAGAGTTACATTTGTAAAAACATTTTCAAATAAGCCAAGAGTATTGATATTTGTTAATTTCTTCTTGACTGTTTTCACAAAAGAAATATAAGTTTAAGAAAACAAAACTATTTTTGTGCCTGTTGTTAAACACCCTTCTCCTTTAAAAAAGTTTCAACTAGCCTGTGCTGTGATGGGACATAGCCCCATCATTAAAGATTTTAATGGAGTATCCTGGAAAGATGGTAACATTAAGAGAAAAGAAAACAACCAACACCACAATTTTTTTACCTGTCACAGCTCTGTCTGTGATGACGACTTCATCAAGGTAAAATGACCCAAGTGTTTCCTTCTGCGGCTCAGGACCCAGCAAGTCAATCTGATGCACAAACACGGGGGAATGGGCAGGGAGGTCCCGGAGAAGCACGGAGCGATTCACACACTCTTCCCACAGGTCAGTGCATGTAAACCTCCAGCTGGAAGACACCAAGCACGTGCAATCTCTCTTTTGCTGTGAGGCAGTTGCAAAAACTGACTTCTGAAGTGCTTTGTGAAGCTTCCAAGTAATATCAGGTGCTGCTGTTATCACCACTATTGTTACTTTTACACAACACTTAACGTGATTGCTCTCTACACATCTCTCTTGGGTTCCCAACAGTGAGAACCAGGGCTTTGTGTCTCTGCTTGGGTGTCCTCCTCTGTGTCACAAGAGGGGGATGTGGGAGCAACTACTGCTGCTCTATTCTGGGCAAAAACAATACAAGAGCATCAGTGACCTCAGCAGGGATCAATCCAGAGTTCAGGTCCCTTGGGAATACCAGATGTTAGCTCAAGGCCCACAGTTCTCTCCACATACCCCCTCTTCCCCTTCCAGGCACAACCCTTGCTTAATCTTACAGAACTCCAAGGTGCCAACTTCACTTCCTGAAGTTCTTCAGAGACTCCTGATTTTTTAGGTCTGCTTGCCTCTAACTTTACTTCTAACACCAAATGTTTTCCACCCATGTATTCTAAGTGAAAATAAAAACTAAACCAACTTTCAAAACTCTGTACCAATGACCTCATAAGTTTCCTAGGGCGGGGGTGGGAGGGAGAGGGAATCGATTAAAAATTCTCACTGCAGAAAATCCAGTGACTGTTGACAAAGAATCCATTAAATTAATGGCCTCAGAAACCTTCTGGTGTGCTTACCAGAGACAGAACAAACTCTCCATCTGTGCAGTGCAATGGTGGGATAACAAGAAACACACAGATTTACTCAATAAGTCCTCAAATCCAATGGAAGCATGTTGCAGGGATGCCTTTGCACAGCCGGACAATGTGTCAGCTTACGACAACAGGAAATTTTCTTCTATACAAATAAGAACTCACTTCTCCCAGTTTTCCTAGTACACCTTCTTACTATGGAAAGTGTCATGTCTGGGAACGGTGTTGGATACCTTTTAGAGTCAGTTTCATTGAAATCGCACAGGCAGGTGATGTTCCTCTTCACTGGGCATAAAGAAACGTTGGTGTAGGACACCAAGATACGAAGGATATTGCTCATATGGCCTTTATGTGCAAAACACACCTGCAAAAATGGGGGGGGTCGGGGAAGAAGAGAAACTTTCACAAATCAAAATATATAATTTATGAGTAATGCTTGTAGGAGAGATTATATTCTCTTTAACATTAGTAAGGAAACGTGTTACTCGAGTTCAGCAATAAAGCCCAAACCTTAAGGTCAAATTGCCTTGAATAAAGCATCCAACAGGAGATGGTGCACCAGCATCCAGGTGACCTGTGTGCTAGCACATAGCCTGAAACAGACCCCTCAGGCTTCAGTGAGGTTTGGGGGCAAAACATAGCTGGGAATCTCCAACAGCAATTTCAAGTATCTAAGAGAGAGGAAAGGAGATGTGAGGAGTTAGAGAGATTTGCTAGGTACAAGGTTTGGGATGTGTGTCAGGTGAGGAAATAGGATGGGAAGAGATGTGTAAAGGGAACTGGAAGGAGTCTGGAAGGACTACAGAAGTCTTTGGTGACAGTGTCTCCCTCCCTCTTCCTTTCTTTCAATGCTCAACAATTTGCCTTCCCCCAGGTAGCAAAGAAAAGGTAATAGGATTGAAATCAAGCCCTTATTCCTAATAAAAGCAGATGAAGAAGGTGAGCAGAAAAGTTATGTGGAGCAGACCCCCAAAATAACAAGATTTTTGCTTTTGTCAAGAAGCAGTCATTCTTGCATCTTCCATCTTTTCTCAACACCATCCCACATTTTCCTTTCCCTTGGCAGAAGTGGCATCCCCAGAAAAAGTGAGCAGCCAGAGGTGTTAAACGATATCCACATCTCAGGGAACTCAAACTATACACCCAGTCAATGAAAAACACTGCTCTTTCCACAAGCACAGTTCAAAGACACCAACCTTTGTGGATCTAGAAGTCTAAACAGACCGGCTGAGTTTATAATGCTGACTTGGATCAGTATTCACTCCCCACTGCAACCTACACAGCAAGAGCAGCCACTTACATGTGTGTATTCACTAAGATCATATCTTGGTAGAGTCGATGGGGAAGTTTTCACCAGCTGGCTTGGTCTGTGAGCACTGAACCTCCCACAGAAAGGCTCTGTACCACTGACAACATGTTCCGCGATAATGATGTCCTTCATATCTGACAGATAGAAAAAAAATAAGGCACAGAGGGGATGACAGCCTTGAAAATTCAGAAGACACCAGTATGGTCAAGAGATTCATAAAAATGCAGGAGCTTGGTATCCAGAACTTGTCAAACAGTCCTACTCAAATATTATCCTATCCAGATAAACAGTGAACATATGCAGATAAATTGTTCCCTGGTTTAAGGGTGCTAAAGGGCAGGAGGGATGATTAGACTACTATTCTGAGCATAAAAACTCATGACAGAGAACATTGTCTTTAGCCAGATAGAGTATTTCATACCAAATTCACCCTTTCTTTCCAGACAACACTCAAAGTTGGAAAATTATGTATAAAGCAACAGTGAATCCACCTTCCTTTTTAAGATATTTATTCCATTCATCTATCAACCATGATGCCATTTTTTCTTCTCTGAAGACAGGACGCTGGACTAGACAGACCGTAAGTCTGAATGTGTGCGACATCTTTACATTTCTGGCATCTGTTCTGCTGTTTTGGGTTTTTTTTTGTTTGTGGTTTTTTGTTTTGTTTTTTTTTTAATATTTTCTACATTTTACAATCATCAATGAAAATTCAAATTCTCCTTTGTTCTATTTGTTATGTACCAAATTTTTATTCCCACTGCACTGTTGAACCATCATTGGCTTTTAGCTCAAGTTTTTCCCTCTTTTATTTGGGAGAATTGTGGATTTGGGATCACGTAATTAGATTAAGAATGTCTAATTTTTTTTTTTTTTTTTTTCCCTAAAGATTCCCTCCCTCCACAGTTAAATTGTTCTCCTCCTCTGGGAGGAATCAATCACCAAATATACATATTACTGGCTGGAGTCTATTCTCTGTCTATACCGAATGTGAGTACATGATACAACTCTAGGTAATCATCTACTTTTTGCCATAGGATTAGTATACAATTACTGCTGTCGGATACATAAAATAGAGTAACATTCTATTGTGCACAATACCTTCATGTTAGAAAACTGTTATCAATTTCTTTATTCTTATAATTTTTACAAAAGTGATTAATGTTTTACACCAATCTACACCTAATTTTTCTAACCACCAAATCATATTACCTGTTTTCAACATATTACAGAAAGGATCTCTCATTATTACATTAATCATGTTAGCTTTAATGTAAGTTCCATAAACTCACCACATCAGAATACATCCAAATAATGAAAAGCTAAGGAACATAAATATAGGTACTTAAAACCCATTAAAAGCATGAATTTATTGTCATTAAAGGTTTAAAATACATTTGTTTCATTAAAAGAAACTCCCACAGTAAATAATGCTTATGTGTCACAGAAGATCACTACCTTCTTTCTCAAAGCCACCACGGAAAAGGATTTTAGCAGAAGCTGGCTCAGTTTCACATCCTATTGAAAGGAGTTCCTCTATTGCTGTTTGCACCTTTAAAACACATCAAGAACATGGAAAGCAGTCACAGGACAGCAGTGTCTAGCTCATTTCAGCAAAGACCTTCAACACAACATCAGTTCAGTTCTCATCTGCTAGGGATGAGTGGCAAGGCAGCTCTGAAGGAGCAGGTAGCCACATGGAGCTGAATTTTACTCTCTACAACACAGAACATAAAACTCCAGATCTGATACCCTTCAGGGGTCTCATCAACCTCCTCAGAAAGGTGCAGATTTTTTACAGGAGCTATATCACAGCCTGGGCATCTGCATTCTCCTCTAGAATCCACCAGCTGTGTTGACTCCATGTCCAACAACTGTCATGGGGTTGTCACCTGGGGTAGTTCTGACAGTGATCAGTACCACATCAAGAGGCTATGAGATTTAGAGGAAGTCAGATCAGAGCTCCTGCCTGAAGGAAGATCTACACAGTACACTTATGGTCTTAGAGAAGTCGAAGGGTCCACTACCTAAAGATACCACACACATCACTGCAGACATGACAGGCCAAGATCAGGTGCTGTGATACCTGGGAGTCAGCCTCCCCAAAAATCCCACTGCGAGACATTCCCAGTAACAAAAATCACCCCTACATCATAAAATTTCACATAAACTTCTGGGCCAAACGTTTAACTGCTGTCAAGCACCAGAGCCCCATCAGTTACACGCCTGCAGAGGACTGGGTGTCTGCGTTTAATGACACCTACCTGGTGAGCCGTAGCGTTTGTGGGGATAATTCTGTGTAATATGTTATTCCAGGAGACACTGAAACACCCTGTGCCAGACACAGTCAACATCTGGCAAGCAAAGAAGTAAATAAATGAAAACGGATACAAGCTGCACAAGACACACAGACTTAAAACCCCGTATCTCCTACCAAGGAGGATTTTAAGGCCAGCATTTTGCCTTTTTAAGACTCCGCAAACCAAAGTCTCTTCACCTACTCTTAAACTGCTCCTCTTCTCCGTGGTCTCTCCTCACGCGATCCTTGGACTCCCATTCTTACATTAACAGGAGTACAAGGGATGCATGATCTGTGCAGACATGCTGACAGCAACTAATGGTCCATAAAAGGGACCATACGACAGGCTGAGAGAGTTGGGTTTGTTCAGCTTGGAGAAGAGAAGGCTCCAGGGAGACCTTATAGCACCTTCCAGTGTCTGGGGGGACTGACAAGAAAGCTGGGGGAGACACTTTTTGCAAGGGCAGGGAGCGAGAGGACAAGGAAGAATGGGTTTAAATTGAAAGAGGGGAGATTTAGATTGGACATCAGGAAGAAATTCTTCCCGGAGAGGTTGGGAAGGCACCGGGACAGGTTGCCCAGAGAAGCTGTGGATGCCCCATCCCTGGAAGTGTCCAAGGCTAGGCTGGATGAGGCTTGGAGCAACCTGGTCTAGTGGAAGGGGTCCCTGCCCAAGGAAGGGAGTGGAACTAGATGGTCTTTAAGGTCCCTTCCAACCCAAACCATTCTATGATTCATTCTATGATTGCTATGAAAGCTCCTGACCTGCAGCTGTGGGATTTAACCATGAGGGAAACCTTCCCTCACTGCTGAGCACTTCATCAAGTTGAAAGTGTCCATCATTTCATTACACTGTAGGGTTAACCAGATAACACACACCGAGTGTGCTGTCATGAAGGAAGGGAAATAAAAATTATCCCAAACGTGTTAATTAACAAATGTATTAAGGTGAGGCATTAGTGAGTGACTTAAAACCTGAGGGGAGTCAGCATTGCTTACACCAACACACGAGCAGATTATAACACAACCAAAGGGTTCACATTCGCTCACCAGCATGTGTAAAACCCACAAGCACCTTCAGCTCACGTTGCTGTTCTCATCAACTATCTCAGCAGGTTAAAAACAAGTGGGAACACACTTTCATGTCTGGCACCCCCCCTAAGGCCTTTACAATCAGGATTTGCTGCCAACTGTGTCAACTGAATCAGGGCTAGTCCAGCTTCCAGGGCCAGGCACAGAGCACTGACCTGCACGTTCGGAAGTTGCAACGCACGAGCCCGAATTTCCTGTCTCTCAATGTGGTAGTTGTTCACCACGTGAGGATTCAGCCACGTGTTATGTATCTGGACTCCAACTCTCATCCCATTGCTGGGTGTCTTTCCGTGATGCAGCGCTTCCAGGTAGTACCTTGAACCAGAAGTTAGCTCAAATTTCTGGGATTTTGGCTGCCAATCCTCACTCCAGCTCTTGACCCAGTGCTCAGACCACTCCGAATTGCCAGCAGGGAGAGAAGCTATTTTCACCTGTGTTCAGACCAACCAAATAGTCTAGTTAGAGACATTTCTCCACCCCCAAAAGGCTACTAACAGTTCCCCATGCAACCTGTCATGGATGACTTCATCTCCTGTCTTTCAGATACAAAAGGAACTATGTCTAGAGCCTTCTGAGACATAGTATGTTACCATTAGTAAGGCCAGTAATGCCACTTCTTTTGGTTTTACA